GTTTTGGGAAATAAGGCAAACTTTTTGACGGAAAATGACAAGATTTTTCGGGAAAATAAGGTGGAACGATCCTGAAAATTTCGTCTGATGTACTTACCTGGGAAAACGGACGGGCAAACTCGTCCAATGTAAAAGTAGAGCGCAGCCAGCGCCAGGAAATGAAACAGTGCAAACCATGTGTTGATAAATAACAATATCAGTATGTTAACAATTGCCTGAAACATTCATATTGCAGATGCGGGTAAAATAATGGGTAGATTAATAAGAGAGTAGAACTTTGGGTAAATTCTGGGTAAAGTATCGTGAATTACCCCGATAAATGATACGTAACGATTGCTGAACATCGAATACCACGATTCAGGTTGCCCAATAATTGACGAATGCGATTCGGCTGAAAATATTTCCGTATATTAGGAATTTCCACGGCCGCCAGCGATCCTGCCGGGTAAGTTGATTGTGATTTCCCCGGGAAATCAATCTCAGGCAACTCCAGACTTCCAGGCCTCATCTACGATAATCTATTGATCAGAGACTAAGATCTGATCGATAATCTACTGATCAGAGGCGGAGATCTGATCGATCGACACGACGTTCCACCTACCTCCGAGTTCCGGATGTTGTACTCGTTCCGGAAAAAGACTATCCAAGTCCGCGGCCGAAGATGTTGCAGTGGCTGCCCCGTTCGGCCCTTCAGCTGCCGCTTTCAAGTTCCCCATACTTCCATAGGATTGTTTATCACGAGCCGCATTCCTGCAAAACAATCAGATCAATCAGATCAATAATCGATCAATCAATAATCGAAGTTCCACGTAAAATTTAAAAACACCAACGATATGTTCTGCACTGATTGCAGATCATAGCTCATCGCCAGTGACACATAGGAATAGTTGACGAACGCGTAGGTGATCAAAAATGGCATCGTAGATAAAATAGCCAGCTGGTTGAGATTGCCCAACATCACGAAAACGACCGCAATAAGCATCATCACAAGTCCGGCACGGACCGGATTCTTATTGGGTCCTTGCTGAAATTTAGAAATTTTAATTTCCGCCATATTGATCAAAATTTGATCAAAAAATTGATCAAATCAAACCTAATTGATCAAAAAAAAACTGATTTCCGAGGGGAAAATGAAATGTCTAATTAAACAGGTAAACTTACACCAATTGCCAGCGGATTCAACACCGGAATAATGCCCTCGGCAGCGATACTCTGTATGACACGTGGAGTGCCCAATAAGGCGCCGATCGTAGAGCTCAACGACGACACATACACCCCGCACAGAAACAACACCCCGGTCAACGAGACCCGTTCGGCGATCAACGAATCACACAGCAGATACTCTCGATCCACCACCGCGCCCAGCGCTATGATGAAGAAAAAACACACGATTGAACTGAAATTTCGGTTTTTTTCGGTAATAAATTTACCAAGAAAACCGCAAAATTACGGTCCATCCGACTCGAGACGCCCAGCAGCCATCACCTCAAATTTTATTGGGATTCTGTGGATTTTGTTTTGGTTTGGGTTAAAATTTGACATCCATTCAACCAATCAACCAATTAAGCATCATACCTGACTCCAACAGC